AGATGATATAATGAAGGAAAATTGTCTAAAAAATATAAAAAAATCAAGAAGCGAAAAATTAACAAGAATATTGTATTTTATTTATAAATTAAGGCTTTAAAATGTGTTTGTTTTCTTTCTATGATGTCTCAGGCTTTTGAAAGCCTTTTAACTTAATTTTGTAAGAAATTCTTAATAATTTAAATAAATGTAACAAATATATAACATTCTTAACAATAAATTACTAAAAACTTACCTTTACAATGCCATCTCTGATTGTGGGACAAAAAAATGTGGCGACATTGGCGCCGTTTCATGACAGAAAAAAAAAAATTGGATGAAAATTGAATTGAATTTGAAGTCGGGCTCCGTGTCCTTGTGATCCTGCCAGGGGTGGTGGGGCTGCTGCGGCTTGACTTATGGGTCTGGCATCCTTTCGATGTCACCTTCTTGCAACGGCTTACCTGGCATTCAATTCCACGGAAGACACCTCCAAAAACCATTCAATGCCATTCCATGACATCACTCAAACTAATGGCGCTTGATTCTGTCTATTGAAAAGTCACAAGAAACTTTCTCTTCTTTCTTTTTGTGGGCTGGCTTAATGGAAAGGTGAAAGGTTATAGATTTGTGTGCCTATCTAAGCTTGATTTTTGTTTAATCAAAAAATCTAACAACTAGGAAATTGGTCACTTATGATCTCTTCAGTATAAAGTCTCTTTTTTTTTGACAATTTGAAGCTTTTTCCTTTTCAATTATCACAAATTGAATCACAAATCTCTAATCCTAAAATAGAATATATTCCCATAAAGGACACACACCTGTCCTTCTAAACGGATTCACTTTCGTTTTAAGTTGATTTTTATTATTTTCTCCTTTTCTTTTTTTTTTGCGTAAGAGTTTTTCTCAGCTTTTTCAATTTACTGACGGAAATCCAGGCAGTAAAGCGCATTCAATCAACTGCCCCCTAACTTTGTTGTGCCTCCCCAGTGGGGGGTGTGGTAAGGGGGGGAGGGCAATGGGTGGTGTGGCGGCTGGACGGCATTAAATTTATATGTCAATAAATCTCGAAGAGCAAAAGCCAAACGCCAAGTCATTGGCTTAACGAGTGCGAGTAGTGCAGCTGATATGGTCAGCTCATTTGCACTGAAAAAAATTAATTATAGATGCATAAAAACAGGGAGAAAAGGTAATCTTTAGATGACTAATTATTATAAATTTTAAAAATTATTTTTGGTATTTTTAGGCTAACTAAAAGTAGGTGTTTAGGAAAACCTTTTGAGAAGCGAGGAGAAGAGCTCTGTTACTTTTATGAAAAGCTTTAATACTTGTTTAGTATTTTTAGTATTTTATCATTTTGGTATTGTTGGCTTTATCAGGTTTTTCTTAGGTGCGCCCTATGAGAATCGAGGAGGAGGGCATTTTCTCAAAAATTAATTTTAAACAAAAAAAGATAGTTTTAGGGTTAATTTAAAAAATAAACGAATAAAAATTCAAGTGTAACCTCTCAGCTGGGAAAACTTATTAGCCGACGCGTTTAAGGCTATTAAACCAAGCCAGGTGGACCGGCCAGCAGCCGCAGGGGGTGGCAAAAGGAGGCGTGGCCAGCGGCAGGCGGAGGCGGAGGTCGTGCCACATACACGACTATAAATCACAGACCTGACATGACCAGGAAAAGTGGACTATGAACTCGTCCATGTGAATTCTCAACAGGATTGCAGGGCGGCGGGAAAAGAGGCGGGAAGGATCAGGTGGGCAGGTAGAAGTAGAGCGGCGGTGGAGGGGTATAAAGGCCTAGTGACAGTTACCCAATACCCAAGGATTACCATAACAACTCAATAACACTAAACTCTGGGCTTAACTTGACAAATTCTTATGGTCTTTCAGCTTAAAAAAAATTATAACAAAAGCTTTCTGGAGGTAGAGGGAAAATATTAATGGATTTCTTAGGTTTTTAATAGTTTTAGATAGTTGAAAAAATTTTTAAAGATTTTTTTAAACTTAGTTCTTTAAATAATAAATGGTTTTAAATAGATAGATGGGCTATTAAACCCCATAGGTCTTAAGGTACACAATGAAACCCATCTCTTGTCCTCTTTAAAAAATCTCCTAAAATCCTTAACCAAAATCTTTTTAAATCTAGCTTTGTAAACAAAGTTCTTTCAAAGCCAAAAGGCGCCTTCATTTTGCGTATGTTTTACATAATTTATCACTCCTTTAGAGTCCTTTTTTTTTTGGTATTTTATATATACAAACCATATAGCATATGTATGTACTTTTTTGTGGCCGACTTAAGCGATTGTTATTAATCAGCCGTGAGAGGAGACTGGAATACCAGTGACCCACTTCACACCACCAGAAACCAGTACCAGTACCAGGAGAACACCAGAACACTGTTGATTTTGACTCTGATTTTGATGGGAAACTCGGATGCTCCGGGGCCCGGCATAAATCTCAGACAACGCGGCGTATGAGTGATGTCAAATGCAAGCTAAGAGACTGCAAAATGCCGCCCCCTTTGTTAGGATCATTAATAATACTTTTTAGTTTGCATGCGTGTGTGTTTTGGTTGGGTTTCCTAACAAATTGCCAGGCTCAAGGCATAACAAAATTCCAATTAATCAACCAGACAAAAATCTCCAGAACTCGGAACTCGGAGGTATGGGTTCAAGTCCCATGGTCCAAAAAATAAACCACTCTATATGGTTTCATGGCCTGACTAATCAATGATTGAGAGACCATTCACCATTTAGTCATCGATAAATGGATGGAAACTTTGCTTCGATTATCCGTAAAGGGAAAGCAAAAAAAAAATCCTGACCCGGATGGAGAAAATGGCTAGAAAAAAAAAATGAAATGAGGAAATATATATGTATATAAATACGTATAAAAGACGACCCAAGAAATTAAATTATTTGTTAGCCAAGGCAAACGAGCCAGGAACAACGGAGTTGCCGGAAAAGGAGTCCAGAAAGGACCTCAAGTCCGTGTGGGGAGATCTACAAAAAAAAAAACAAGGCTGACAACAAGGCCACATACACACTGGCAGGAAAATACTAGGAATACTTTAGTTATTCATATTTCTCTTTAATAATTATTTCAAAAATTATAATATTTGTTATTTCTTTTAGAAATTCTCTACTTTTCTTTTCTTAATTTTATTTTCATTTATTTTCATAGATTTTTTTTTTTAGTGCATTTTTGTGATGGCTTCGTACGTCTGGCTGGGCAACAAGTGAAAATCCATTTGTTAGAGGAAATCGTGCAAAAAGCTTAAATACGAAGCTTAAACATAAGTAGCAACGAATGCCACACACACAACCACACACCTATACATCCTACACCCACACATATGCACACTTTCTACAATATATACATAAATATATACAAATATATATGAGTTTATATATGAGTATGCATATGTGGGGCAGGTCTTAGGCAGGCCAAAAACTAAATGAAGCTGCTGCCATTTCACCTTCTTTGGTCAAATTATCTAACTTTTCAATCGGATTCATTAGCTACTTAAATAAAAAGGTTATATTCTTTAAATGTATATGTATTTTATACTGTTTTATAATTTTTAAATTATATTTTTAATTAAAAACTAAGCTAAAAGTTGTACTTACAACAGTTCTTATTTTAAAAGCATCTTAAAGGACTTTCAATAGGCCTAATATTAATACCTGGTATTGGATTTAATTTACTTTTTAATTGAATTTTTTTAATATTTTAGACTAGCTAAACTAGGTTTTAAATTTATTAGTTTAAGTCTTATTAAAAATGAAGTATTTTATAAGAACCGGGTATCATATATCATATTTTAAAGCTATAAGATAAGATAAGAAAAGTAAGGATAAGAGATCAAAGTCTTATAGAGGTATTTGCCAATTATATTAATAAAAAATTATCTATTAAATATTTTTATAATTTTTTTTAAAAAGAGTATAGAAATTTCTTATAAAAATTTATGATATTTTGCTTCCTACTTTTTGAGTTTTCTTTTTTCTTTTCTTTTTTTTCACCCCTCCTTAGCTTTGTATTTCGCCCCATTGATGCTCATGTTGTTTTTGTTGTTGTTGGGACCCCGTCTTAGCTTTTAACGTGTTTTACCGTTCGTTTCTTTTTGCGCATAAAATGAGCAGGTAACAGGCTTGCAAGTGAGTATGTGTGTGTGTGTGAGAGCCTTTTCGCAAAAGTTGTGTGTGTGTGTGGGTGGGTGAGCACGGTTCGACTCCCTTGGGTAAATTTTCGTATTTAAAATATATGACCAAGAAATTTTCAAACATTATTTTTTAATTTTATTTTTTTTTTCTCTTCGTTTTTGTTTTTTAAGCCTCTTCTTACCACCCGCCACCTTGCCACCAAACCACCCTTGAAGCATTTGCAACTTTTTGTTCTCCTCCTTGCCGCAAATCAATTTGCTTGGGCAAGGACTCGCAGGATGTGAAGGAGAGAGCTTAACAAAAATAAAATAAGACGCATAGCGGAGCGGAAAGGATTGTCGAGTGAAGTGGCACGGACTTTGTTAGAAGGGGGTGGTGGCATGTGCGACTGTGGGGGTAACACTTGAATTTATGTTGCATTTGGCTGAAGATGCTTAGCCTGAGTCCTGGAGCTCTGTCCTGTAAATGCATGTGCGGATGGGATTAGCTGTCCCAAATCCTAAAAGTTTACAAAATAAAGACAAAAGCCTTGTCAAGTGGCGGATGAGACACTTCTTTGGTTATTTGATTGGCAGTTTCTCCAAAAAATATTGGGATAGTATTATTTTCTTTCTTAAGATATAACTATCTTATAACTTCCTAAAATAATCACAAAAAGTTCAATACAAGCCGATTGCCATAAACATAAAAACCATAAAAGCATAAAAATAAAGATAAATCAAAATTCGATTTATATTACCAACTGTCTTTAATAGAGGGTTATAAAATTTGTGGAAAGATTGAATTGGATTGGATTCTTTATATAAAGGCCCCCAAATTTTTGGAAGAAGTTTAATAATAAACAGACTTCAAGAGAACATGTTGGATATTTCTAGAGGCCTTATAATTGTCAACCTAATATTTGGACTATGGCCTGGTTGGAGTCAAGGGGTTAGTATATATTTTTAATTAACTAAATAATATTATAAGTCTTTTTCCATATCACAGGCCTATCTTTTGGAGGAGGATTACTATACTGCTGGAGTGGTGGAATTCCAAAAGTCCTCCTTGTCCGAAAACACAGCCGCCTATGTGGAAATAATTAAATCTGAAAGTGCCAGTTCCACTGATATTATAGTATTTCCGGAGAGTACTCTCAACGATGGAAGTTCCACGTCGTTCATCCCAGATCCCAAGGAGCTTGTTAATCCTTGTCTAAGTGATCCGAATGCCACCTTCTACGAAGAGTTCCTGGTGACCATTTCGTGTGCCGCCCGGAATGCCAGCAAGTACGTGGTCATCAATCTCACGGAGAAACAAAAGTGCGAGGATGTCCCGGAGGACACCAGACCCTGCGCCTCGAACGGACTGAATGTCTACAACACCAATGTGGTTTTCGATCGACAGGGCGTGGTGGTGTCACGTTACCGAAAGATTCATCTTTGGATCGAGGAGAAGAACACCACTTTCCAGCCGGAGCTTATCACCTTCGAAACGGATTTCGGGGTCACCTTTGGGCACTTCATATGCTATGACATTCTCTTCTATGACCCGGCCCACCAGCTCATCCGGGAACAAGGCATCAAGGATTTTGTTTACCTATCCATGTGGTTCTCCCAATTGCCGTTCCACACAGGTAACACAAATCATTCATTTGGTGAACTAATTCTCAGGATGTTTTCTTCCTTAGCTGTCCAGATCCAGCAGGGATGGGCTTACACCAACGACGTGAATCTTCTGGCCGCCGGTGCCAGTCTTCCATCAGACGGCAGTACTGGATCGGGTATCTACCATGGAAGGAGTGGCACATTGATCAGTGTGATGAGACAGGACTCCGGCGAGCGGACGCTCTATGTGGCTCAGGTTCCCAAATACTCCAGCAGTAGAAGCATCCACAAGAGGGCAGGAAGAAGTGCACCCAGGCAGGTAGCCACCAGTTCCAGTATAAGCCTGATGAGGGACCAACTGGAGGACTACGAATCGGAAGTGGTTGAGCTTGGAGTAGGGCCTTCTCCTGGTAATCTCAGCAGGACTCTCTGTCAGGGCAGCTTCTGCTGTCACTTTAATATCTCATGGCGATTTCTGGAGGAGACGGAGGAGAATGGCAGCTTCTACAGCTATCGGATAGGTGCCTTTGATGGTTTGCCGAAAAGGGATGTGGCCGAAACTAACTACATAAGGAACTGTGGATTGTTTAGCTGCTCTGGTTCCGGAATAGAGGATTGTGGTCAGTTACTTCCTAGCTCCGGGGAGTTGCAACAATCCCGGATAGCCTTCACCCAGTTGGAGATTGGGGTTACCTTTCCGGAGTCGCGGGAGTTTCTGCTGATTCCCCTGTCGCTTCTGGACAACCTGATGCCCCTGGAACCGAGCCAGTTCGAGTGGTCTCAGGAGAAGGCCTCAGAGGAGAGGTTAGTAATAGGAGTATGAGTAGTATTTCAGGTTCAATATATCCTTTTTTGATCCTTAGCTATCAGCACGAGGTCAGATTCGCCCTAAAGGACTCCCAGGAGGTGAGCAACCTTCTAAGCTTTGCTGTTTATGGAAATTACTACGATAATGAGTGCACTTATGGAGTGGGCAGCGAAGAGGAGCAAGTGTCCTGCGGCTACAAGAGTGGTTCCAGTCGAAAGGAGGTAGTTGGTCTAGGGCTACTGATATCCTTGGTTATCCTGGTAGCTTTAGTAGAGTATTGACAATAAATAATAAAAAATATATATTCTTGGTTTGAAGAATTTTACAATTTTGTCAACAAGTGTTAACCAGATAATCGCTACAGTCGAAAAAAAGATAGCTGTCAATTTTTGTTAACTTTATAAGTTCAGAGATAAGCTTCTATGAAACAATAAACCAGCTTATCGTAAAAATGTCTACAGAAAATAAAAACATAAAAGACAAAGCGATAAAAGTATAAAGAATGTCAATCAGTTGGTTCTCCAAAAAGGGCAAGACATATTGGACACGTTTTGTAATAAAGATATGGAATATATACTTGGAGACAGAATCGGGGGACTGAATTAAAGTTCAGATTAAGAGAAATTAATTGATTTATTTGGAGTACAGAGAACAGCAGAGAAATTCGGACTTGGATAGTCTGGAGCGTGGCGATAAGAGGACCGAACAAAAAATAGTTGGGTCAAAACAACCAGTCCAATGTACAAGATTTCGGCCAATTCACAAATCATGCTCACGGTCCGCTAACATGACTCCCAGAATAACCCAACCAGAATAGCTCACAAAGAATTAAGTGATTCAGTTAGTGATGTTTTTCAAGCCTTTAAATATTAATTATTTAATTAAATATTAATTAAACTTAAACTAATTTATTTTTAGACTTTTTTTGGAGTCTACAGCATCATTGAAGTACACCTAGTACAAACTTTAAGAAACCTCCAAGTCTTTCAAAGTCCTAGTCCTTCGGGGCGACCACTTTTAAAATTATTAAAAATAATTAAACTTAATTTAACCTTTAATTTTAGCCTTTTTTTTTTGAGTCTGAAGCATCACTAAAGTGAACCAAATCCAGACAAAAATTTGCGAGCGACTTGTTTTGCTTCTGGTGATAAGATTAACCGGTTCCAGGCTAAAGAAACTCATATCATGGGGTTTCTATAAAAGCAGCAAGCCTCCAGAGACTGGACTAAGTCATTTGCCATCAGCAGACTTGCTTGGTTAGTGGACACGGTCTGGAAATGGCGATATATACTTCTTGGTGGCTTCTCATATTATTTTGCCTGTTGCCGGACATGAGTCAGCAGGTGGGTGGGGGAATGTGGGCTTTCCACTACTTATAGATTGTCCCAACCACGATCGTGATAATTCGAGTTAATCGGCAATTAGTAATTGATTAGTCTGATAAGCTTTGTCCACGTTCCTCGGTCTGTTTTTAGGCGGCTCTGGCCGAGGCTGACTACTATACGGCCGGCGTGGTGGAATTTCGCCAATCGATCAGTCTGTCCCCCACCTCGGAGAACGCCGCCGCCTATGCGGAGATCATTAATTCGGAGAATGCCAGTGCCACCGACATCATTGTCTTCCCGGAGAGCACTCTCAACAGCGGGAGTACAGCCACATTCGTGCCGCATCCCGACGAGCAGGTTAATCCCTGTCTAAGTGATCCTAATGCCACTTACTATGAGGAGTTCTTTGTCACCATTTCGTGTGCCGCCCGTAATGCCAGCAAGTACGTGGTCATCAACCTCACGGAGAAGCAAAAGTGCGAGGATGTTCCAGAGGACACCAGACCCTGTGCCTCCAACGGACTGAATGTTTACAACACCAATGCGGTGTTCGATCGCGAGGGCGTGGTGGTGTCACGTTACCGAAAGGTCCACCTGTACGGTGAGCCCAAGAACAGCACTTACCTGCCGGAGCTGATCACCTTTGAGACGGACTTTGGGGTAACGTTCGGTCACTTCATCTGCTTCGACATCCTATTCTACACGCCGGCACACCAACTGGCCAACGAGCAGGGTATCACGGACTTCGTCTTTCCAGCCATGTGGTTCTCCCAGCTGCCTTTCCTGACGGGTGAGTTCCACAGCCGATAAGTCGGACAAGGGCTAGGGTTGGGGGAGTTCATTGACACACGTTCGACGCGCTTATCAGGGCGGGTGATTGCAAATTAGATGTCTCGCAAGCTCTCCAGATGAAGTGCCTCGAGGGCCCTTAGGGATTTATAATCTTTTGGGATTATTATTAAATACTTAATTATAACGAACCGTCATTTCAGCCGTCCAGATCCAGCAGGGCTGGGCTTACAGCAACAATGTCAACCTTCTGGCCGCAGGAGCTAGTCGTCCTTCCATCGGAAACAGCGGCTCTGGTATCTACCATGGGCGCAATGGCACTCTTACCAGCGTGATGAGACAGGACTCCGGCGAGCGGACCATTTATGTGGCCCAGGTACCTAAGTTCACGAAGAGCAGGTCCCTCCAGAAGCGAATGAAGAGGGATCTTGGGGGCAGTACATCCCGGCAGGTGGCCGAAAGCTCCAGCTACTTCATGAAGCGTGACTATCTGGAGAACTACGAGACGGAGGTGGTGGAGCTTGGCAGCGGGGAGACTGGCAATCTCAGCAGGACTCTCTGCCAGGGCAGCTTCTGTTGTGACTTTAACATATCATGGCGTTTCCTGGAAGGAACTGGAGATAGCTCCAGCTACTACAGCTACCGACTGGGCACTTACGATGGCTGGCGAAACGAGCAGCGGGTGGATGCCAATTACATCCGGAATTGTGGACTGTTCACCTGCACTGGTCCTACAATAGACGATTGTGGTCAGCTGCTGCCCATCTCCGGGGAGCTGCAAGAGCCACAGGTGACCTTCACCCGCCTGGAGATCGGGACGACCTACCCAGAATCACGGGAGTTTCTGCTGATTCCTCAATCGCTCCAGGACAACCTGATGCCCCTGGAACCGAGCCAGTTCGAGTGGTCTCAGGAGAAGGCTTCAGAAGAGAGGTTAGTAATAAGATTAAGAGTAGTATTTCAGGTTTTTTATATCCTTTTTTTGATCCTTAGCTACCAGTACGAGGTCAGATTTGCCCTGAAGGACTCCCAGGAGGTGAGCAACCTCCTCACCTTTGCTGTTTATGGAAATTATTACGACAATGAGTGCACTTTTGGAGTAGGCAGCGAAGAGCAGCAAGTAACCTGCGGCTACAAGAGTGGTTCCAGTCGTAGGGAGGTCCTTGGGAGTGGGCTTTTCGTTGTCTTGGCTATCCTGGCACTGACCTGGTCAAGGAACTGAGGTTCTTCAACTATATTTCTGATAATTCTGGTCTTAATAATACTATTCAGATCGTATGTCTCTAACCTTAATGTCTACTATATATTATTTTTTTTTGTAAATATATTACTTAATTAAGATTAAAGCCTAAAAGTGTGCCTACTTCGGGGAACCTGATTAAAAATTAAGGTAAAAAAATTCCACAAGCAAATCCCAATGCGGCGAGACACTGATTACCGATCAGCCGATTAGATAGAGAAATCTGTTTGTTTTGGAAATGTATTTGAGATTATTTTAAAGTCCAGAGAGAACCCACTCCCCACAGAGACCCAACCGGTTCCAATCAGTCTGTTTCCAATCGTCATCGAGTGAACAACGCCATGGCTTTCGGCTTTTTGTGGCTCCTCCCCGTTGTGGCCCTCTCGTCTCTGGTTGCCGGTTTGGATTTCTACACCGCCGGCGTTGTGGAGTTCCGACCCTCCATTGTGGGCGGCAGCTCGGAGCAACTGCTGGCCGAGAATCTGGAGGGCTACCTGCAGCTCATAGCCGCCGGCAATGGCACCACTGACATTCTCGTCTTTCCGGAGGCCACTCTCAACACTGTCCTCCAGCTGACGGCAGTGCCGGCCTCCACGGACCAGAGTTTGTGCGACGAGTCCTCCCAGGACGACCCAGAGATAGCTCCGTTCCTGCGACGACTGGCCTGTGCTGCTCAAGAATTCCACACCTACCTGGTGGTCAATGTAAAGGAGAAGGCTCCGGACGAAGGTAGCGCCTCCGGATATGCCGTCTACAATACGAACGTTGTCTTCGACCGGAACGGTGCTGTGGTCTCGCGTTATCGCAAGTGGAACCTCTACCTGGAGTCCCAAACCAGTCGCACTGAGAGTCCGGAGCTGGCCACTTTCCATACGGATTTCAACGTAACCTTTGGCCATTTCGTGTGCTTTGACATGCTCTTCTATTCTCCGGCCCAGGAGCTGGTGGAAGGGTTGGGTGTCCGGCATGTGATTGTCACCAAAATGTTCAACTCGGAGCTGCCTTTTCTGACGGGTGAGGTCTGCAGGTCTTCTCTTAGAATCCATCCTTAACTTTTATTATTTTCTCCCCAAAAGCCGTACAATTTCAACAGGGCTGGGCCTGGGCCAACAAGGTGAATCTCCTGGCAGCCGGTGGCAGTCTTCCCCAGGCCGGAATCAGTGGCAGTGGCATCTATGCCGGAGTCCAAGGTGCCGTGGCCCAACTCCTAATCACGGATAGCGATGAGGGTCAGAGGAAATTGCTACTGGCACGGCTACCCATCAACCCGGATGATCTCCTGCCCCAAGAGGAGGAGCCTTTGCAGCCGGAAGCCATAACATCCGTTCGCCTAAAGCTTCTACAGCAACCGGATGTGAAAATGTTCAGCACCTGGGAGTTGCCGATGATTGAAGGAAGTTCTGTTAAGAAAAGGATTTGTCAGGATGATCTCTGTTGTCGATTCGAGATCGATTGGACTACGAATGGATCGATTCCGGGCTACAGTTACCGAATGGGCGTCTGGGTGGGTAGGAGGAGGTACGAGGAGGAGCAGTACAGCTCGATCCGACTTTGTGGACTCTTCGCCTGCCGGAATGGCGATGTCGGGAGTTGTGGCCTTTTGGATTCCGGGGATAATATAGTCCAGATGACACAAGGCTTGCAGTTCACGAAACTCCTCATCGAGGGCGAGTTCGTTCGTCGTCCCAGGCGCCTGATCTCGCCCAGCACTCTGAGCTCCTCCACTTTCTATCCCCTGCAGCCGAGTCAGTTGTCCTGGGTTCTGTCCGAGGAGCAGCATAATGTGACGCTGGTGAGGATGGAACTGAAAGAGCCTCGAGGAGAGCTAATGACGTTTGCCATTTATGGGAATTATTTTGATGAAAATGCAGGAGGTGGCGGAAATGCCCTTGGAAATGGATCGGGAGTCCTTTTGTCTGTTTTACTGGTCCTTTTACTGACTATTAGGGTGTATCTTAACTGATTCGATACTTGATTTTAAATTATTTTAAAATTTTAACAGCAACTTGAGGTATTAATTTAAAAAAAAGTTTTAAAAAACAATTAAATAAATAAATACTCTTATTAATAAATAATTAATAAAATCTAAAACATATTTCGTCTCAGGATTTTGATGCAGAAAGATAGAAAATCGATCCAGAAACCTTTTAAGGTACTCCGCTTTAGAATCGGATGAGAATTGGCCAAAATATAGCCACCCCCGTGGCCCCTATACGGCAAAACCCCATTTTCAGGGGTCACATCAGGAAAAATGGACAAAAAATCTAAAAAATATTTTGTCTCAGGATTTTGATGCAGAATGGTGGCAAATCGATATAGAAATCGATTAAGGTACTCCGCTTGAGAATCGGATTAGAATTGGGGAAGATATAGCTATCGCCGTGGACCCTATAGGGGAAAACCCCATTTCCTAGGGGTCCCATCACGAAAAATGGACAAAAAATCTAAAAAATATTTTGTCTCAGGATTTTGATGCAGAATGGTGGCAAATCGATATAGAAATCGTTTAAGGTACTCCGCTTGAGAATCGGATGAGAATTGGGGAAGATATAGCCATCCCCGTGGACCCTATAGGGGAAAACCCCATTTCCTAGGGGTCCCATCAGGAAAAATGGACAAAAAATCTAAAAAATATTTTGTCTCAGGATTTTGATGCAGAATGGTGGCAAATCGATATAGAAATCGATTAAGGTACTCCGCTTGAGAATCGGATTAGAATTGGGGAAGATATAGCTATCGCCGTGGACCCTATAGGGGAAAACCCCATTTCCTAGGGGTCCCATCAGGAAAAATGGACAAAAAATCTAAAAAATATTTTGTCTCAGGATTTTGATGCAGAATGGTGGCAAATCGATATAGAAATCGTTTAAGGTATTCCGCTTGAGAATCGGATGAGAATTGGGGAAGATATAGCCATCACCGTGGACCCTACAGGGAAAACCCCCATTTCCTAGGGGTGCCATCAGGAAAAATGGACAAAAAATCTAAAAAATATTTTGTCTCAGGAATTTGATGCAGAATGGTGGCAAATCGATATAGAAATCGTTTAAGGTACTCCGCTTGAGAATCGGATGAGAATTGGGGAAGATATAGCTATCGCCGTGGACCCTATAGGGGAAAACCCCATTTCCTAGGGGTCCCATCAGGAAAAATGGACAAAAAATCTAAAAAATATTTTGTCTCAGGATTTTGATGCAGAATGGTGGAGAATCGACTCAGAAATCGTTTAAGGTACTCCGCTTGAGAATCGGATGAGAATTGGGGAAGATATAGCCATCACTGTGGACCCTATAGGGGAACACCCCATTTCCTAGGGGTCCCATCAGGAAAAATGGACAAAAAATCTAAAAAATATTTTGTCTCAGGATTTTGATGCAGAATGGTGGCAAATCGATATAGAAATCGAGTAAGGTACTCCGCTTGAGAATCGGATGAGAATTGGGGAAGATATAGCCATCGCCGTGGACCCTATAGGGGAAAACCCCATTTCCTAGGGGTCCCATCAGGGAAAAATGGACAAAAAATCTAAAAAATATTTTGTCTCAGGATTTTGATGCAGAATGGTGGCAAATCGATATAGAAATCGATTAAGGTACTCCGCTTGAGAATCGGATTAGAATTGGGGAAGATATAGCCATCACCGTGGACCCTATAGGGGAAAACCCCATTTCCTAGGGGTCCCATCAGGAAAAATGGACAAAAAATCTAAAAAATATTTTGTCTCAGGATTTTGATGCAGAATGGTGGCAAATCGATATAGAAATCGTTTAAGGTATTCCGCTTGAGAATCGGATGAGAATTGGGGAAGATATAGCCATCACCGTGGACCCTACAGGGAAAACCCCCATTTCCTAGGGGTCCCATCAGGAAAAATGGACAAAAAATCTAAAAAATATTTTGTCTCAGGATTTTGATGCAGAATGGTGGAGAATCGACTCAGAAATCGAGTAAGGTACTCCGCTTGAGAATCGGATGAGAATTGGGGAAGATATAGCCATCGCCGTGGACCCTATAGGGGAAAACCCCATTTCCTAGGGGTCCCATCAGGAAAAATGGACAAAAAATCTAAAAAATATTTTGTCTCAGGATTTTGATGCAGAATGGTGGCAAATCGATATAGAAATCGAGTAAGGTACTCCGCTTAAGAATCGGATTAGAATTGGGGAAGATATAGCCATCACCGTGGACCCTATAGGGGAAAACCCCATTTCCTAGGGGTCCCATCAGGAAAAATGGACAAAAAATCTAAAAAATATTTTGTCTCAGGATTTTGATGCAGAATGGTGGCAAATCGATATAGAAATCGAGTAAGGTACTCCGCTTGAGAATCGGATGAGAATTGGGAAGATATAGCCATCACTGTGGACCCTATAGGGGAACACCCCATTTCCTAGGGGTCCCATCAGGAAAAATGGACAAAAAATCTAAAAAATATTTTGTCTCAGGATTTTGATGCAGAATGGTGGCAAATCGATATAGAAATCGAGTAAGGTACTCCGCTTGAGAATCGGATGAGAATTGGGGAAGATATAGCCATCGCCGTGGACCCTATAGGGGAAAACCCCATTTCCTAGGGGTCCCATCAGGAAAAATGGACAAAAATCTAAAAAATATTTTGTCTCAGGATTTTGATGCAGAATGGTGGAGAATCGACTCAGAAATCGTTTAAGGTACTCCGCTTGAGAATCGGATGAGAATTGGGGAAGATATAGCCATCACTGTGGACCCTATAGGGGAACACCCCATTTCCTAGGGGTCCCATCAGGAAAAATGGACAAAAAATCTAAAAAATATTTTGTCTCAGGATTTTGATGCAGAATGGTGGCAAATCGATATAGAAATCGAGTAAGGTACTCCGCTTGAGAATCGGATGAGAATTGGGGAAGATATAGCCATCGCCGTGGACCCTATAGGAGAAAACCCCATTTCCTAGGGGTCCCATCAGGAAAAATGGACAAAAAATCTAAAAAATATTTTGTCTCAGGATTTTGATGCAGAATGGTGGCAAATCGATATAGAAATCGATTAAGGTACTCCGCTTGAGAATCGGATTAGAATTGGGGAAGATATAGCCATCACCGTGGACCCTATAGGGGAAAACCCCATTTCCTAGGGGTCCCATCAGGAAAAATGGACAAAAAATCTAAAAAATATTTTGTCTCAGGATTTTGATGCAGAATGGTGGCAAATCGATATAGAAATCGTTTAAGGTATTCCGCTTGAGAATCGGATGAGAATTGGGGAAGATATAGCCATCACCGTGGACCCTACAGGGAAAACCCCCATTTCCTAGGGGTCCCATCAGGAAAAATGGACAAAAAATCTAAAAAATATTTTGTCTCAGGATTTTGATGCAGAATGGTGGAGAATCGACTCAGAAATCGAGTAAGGTACTCCGCTTGAGAATCGGATGAGAATTGGGGAAGATATAGCCATCGCCGTGGACCCTATAGGGGAAAACCCCATTTCCTAGGGGTCCCATCAGGAAAAATGGACAAAAAATCTAAAAATATTTTGTCTCAGGATTTTGATGCAGAATGGTGGCAAATCGATATAGAAATCGAGTAAGGTACTCCGCTTAAGAATCGGATTAGAATTGGGGAAGATATAGCCATCACCGTGGACCCTATAGGGGAAAACCCCATTTCCTAGGGGTCCCATCAGGAAAAATGGACAAAAAATCTAAAAAATATTTTGTCTCAGGATTTTGATGCAGAATGGTGGCAAATCGATATAGAAATCGAGTAAGGTACTCCGCTTGAGAATCGGATGAGAATTGGGGAAGATATAGCCATCACTGTGGACCCTATAGGGGAACACCCCATTTCCTAGGGGTCCCATCAGGAAAAATGGACAAAAAATCTAAAAAATATTTTGTCTCAGGATTTTGATGCAGAATGGTGGCAAATCGATATAGAAATCGAGTAAGGTACTCCGCTTGAGAATCGGATGAGAATTGGGGAAGATATAGCCATCGCCGTGGACCCTATAGGGGAAAACCCCATTTCCTAGGGGTCCCATCAGGAAAAATGGACAAAAAATCTAAAAATATTTTGTCTCAGGATTTTGATGCAGAATGGTGGAGAATCGACTCAGAAATCGTTTAAGGTACTCCGCTTGAGAATCGGATGAGAATTGGGGAAGATATAGCCATCACTGTGGACCCTATAGGGGAACACCCCATTTCCTAGGGGTCCCATCAGGAAAAATGGACAAAAAATCTAAAAAATATTTTGTCTCAGGATTTTGATGCAGAATGGTGGCAAATCGATATAGAAATCGAGTAAGGTACTCCGCTTGAGAATCGGATGAGAATTGGGGAAGATATAGCCATCGCCGTGGACCCTATAGGAGAAAACCCCATTTCCTAGGGGTCCCATCAGGAAAAATGGACAAAAAATCTAAAAAATATTTTGTCTCAGGATTTTGATGCAGAATGGTGGCAAATCGATATAGAAATCGATTAAGGTACTCCGCTTGAGAATCGGATTAGAATTGGGGAAGATATAGCTATCGCCGTGGACCCTATAGGGGAAAACCCCATTTCCTAGGGGTCCCATCAGGAAAAATGGACAAAAAATCGAAAAAATATTTTGTCTCAGGATTTTGATGCAGAATGATGGAGAATCGATCTAGAAATCGTTTAAGGTACTCCGCTTGAGAATCGGATGAGAATTGGGGAAGATATAGCCATTGCCGACCCTATAGGGAAAATCTCCATTTCCTAGGGGTCCCATCAGGAAAAATGGACAAAATATCTAAAAAATATTTTGTCTCAGGATTTTGATGCAGAATGATGGAGATTCGATCCAGAAATCGTTTAAGGTACTCCGCTTGAGAATCGGATGAGAATTGGGGAAGATATAGCCATCACCGTGGACCCTATAGGGGAAAACTTCATTTTCAAGGGATCCCTATAGGGGAAAACCCCATGGAAACTCCGCTGGAGAATCGTATCAGGCCCAGTTGGGTCAGTCCCAATTAAGGCCCTAATTTAATCGTTATTAGTTT